TGGCAGAAAATCTAAGTCCATTTAAAAGTAAAATACGGAAAAAATGGATTTTTTTTTTTACAAAATTTCCTTCTGGATACTATCTTATGATCATAAACAAGCTTCTGTCCAAGTTTGGTAGAAACCCAGGATAGTTTAAGAAAGTTATTAAAATTTTAAAAACTTTAACCACAGAGTGAATGTAATATTTCCCGGCAGAAAAACTAAGTCCATTTATAAGTAAAATACGGAAAAAATGGAATTTTATTTTTACAAAATTTACTTCTGGATACTATCTTATGATCATAAACAAGCTTCTGTCCAAGTTTGGTAGAAATCCAGGATAGTTTAAGAAAGTTATTAAAATTTCAAAAACTTTAACCACAGAGTGAATATTTGTGGACGCCGCCGACGACGACGACGACGCCGACGGAATGTAGGATCGCTATGTCTCCCTTTTTCAACTAAAGTCGAAGGCTCGACAAAAAGGAGACTGACAAATTTTCAGGGTTGAAATTTTCAAAAAGCAGGAGATTTGAATGTTTAAAACAAGAGGGACAGAAGAGGGCTTAAAAATGGGAGATTTGACTGACACCAGAAGAATCACTGGTATGGACGTTTCTGGCTGTATTAAGTCTGCACCAGAGCTCTATGTATTCTCTGTAAACAATAATTAATGACAATTAACAAATTCAGTTTTTTTCTGCTATAATTCTAATGTGATTAGTGTGATTAGTATCTACCAAGTTTTATAAATAGGAAAATTTCGTTTCAATGGTATAATCTATCAAATTGAATGGTCTTTGATCATGTTAATAAACACTAACAATGTTTGTTTGATTCATCATGGTATTTTGTAGTCATGTAAATTTATTTAAACTCAAATTAAGTAGAAAAGAACCACTCTGCTGTGTTCACAAACATCTATTTTAATAGACCACGTTCGAGTTCGTTGCATTTCCGTCAAATACTTAGGTTTTAGTGAACATCATTTCTGTGTTTAGGGGCATCGTCACTTCCTTCCCATGTTGAGCGAGCGGTTGAAAAAATATGATGCTAAATTGCACGAATTATTTGGCAAATTAAATTCTTATAATTGATAATCAGCACTACGATGACTACTGTCATTAGGGAATTGTGATTATGTACCTACAAAACAAACATAACTTCTAGTTTATCCTGCATAATGACAATCACAAAGACGCTTATGAACTTTAATAGTGCAGGGATACAGGCGATACCCTCTAATAAATGATGTCATAAAGGCATGCATAATTGACGAACTTTTCCGGTGAAGGACATAACTCGAAAGTGGTCAATTGTCTTTCATAGTCATAACCTCTCCTGTATAACTTAAATTTACACATTTTCATTGAAAGATTTTAGTGAATAATCTTGGAATTTGACAGTTCTAAATGCAGTTTTATTGGTGATGAGGAAACAACAGTTAAATGGATATTTGTGACCATCCTATCACTAACTGACAGAGGCAATTCTTCAAATAAAGTGCTGTTATTTCTAGTCTAATGCAATACTTTTAAAAGTTCAAAATATAACATTTGTGATATCTTGGAAACATCGACTGTGGTTGAACACCATTGCAAATGGCTTCAACTGTCAACCCTCAAAGGAGTATTTTCGGTACGGGCCCTATTCGGCCCTGAATATCAAGTCAATTGTTTCAAGATAATAAACTGCTGACACAGAGATTTGTCTTGCCTGTCAGCAGAAAATTCAGAAAAGACAATCTGATGGACTGCAACATTGCTAATTAATTCAAAGTTGACATGAACTACTGGGCAGGGCCTGGAAATGGTCAACAAACTGAGATGTACTGATAGTCATGCAACTTTATCCAAAATATCATTGTCTATCACAAGTAGTTCCTATCAAACTAACTGAAGTAGGAAACTCACTCACTGAGTCATAGTCAAATGTAACAGAAAAAATAGGGGGTCCATGTGCTCATTTTTAGCGGGAAATAAAAAACCTTTTATTCAAATGATGGAGATCCTACTTCACTTTTTTGGGGGTCTTAATTATGTCACAGTGTACAAAATGTATTCTTAATGCAACATTGTTGTGCAATTATTCTTGCCGTACATCAAAATGCTACAAGGTTTACTATCAAATACTAATTTATTGATGGTAAAAAAGGAAATTATCTTCTCCTCAGATTTTAAGACCCTGCTGTGTATTTCGCTTGCTAAATTATACAACACCTTCTTTTTCCTTTGCATATACTTTCAAAATTCATGTTACTGATTTGATGATGTTCTACTTTTTCTGTGAATTTTGATTGCTTACTATTAGCAACGTTGCCAAAACAATGTTTAAATCTGTGCTCATCATTATGTACGCCCTTAAAAATACATACATGTAACAGCCACATAAGATATAAATAGATGAATAGATTATAGTCATATCAAACGAGTTTCTTGTAATTAAATTGTTATTCAAATCCAAAATGGATCTTGACATTGATAAACAATCAACACGGAGCACATGAAAAATAAGTGAATTGATAGAGCCATGATATTTTTTTTTCATATTTTCCATGCGTTCCCATTTGTTAAGTTATTAAATGATAAGATGTATTTAATTTGCTCTTTAAGAATCAGTTATTACTATTTACCTTCTAGTGCATGTTTGTTTACAGTTTTCCCCTCACACTTGCGCTGTGCGGTTGTCGAAATTTTAACAAGAGGTCTCATAGTTAAGGAAACTATCGGTGAATTAGAGTATGGGAAGACAATAATTCTATAGCTGTTCATTTACATGATTTATGCAGATTTTGATAATATAAAGGATTTTCTTTTATAAGAAAGTTCCCATACACTTGTTTTATATAGTAAAACTTAGCCATTCAAGTATATCAAATGTATTTAACTTATTTTGTCTAATATGAAGTTTCATATTACTTGAAAGGTTTGTTCGAACATAATTTTACTATTCTTCAGTATGAATTCAAAATCAAATTTGTGGATCTATATATAGGGAAGCAAGTTAACTCGTACCATTGCAAACTCGTACCACGTCAACTCGTACCACTAAAAGCAGCCTTCACGATAAACTTTTGAGTCCACAAGCCTGAAGCTCAGTTTTTTGAAAATTTAAGTTGGATTCTGTTGGCTTGTAGAGAAAAATTTTACAAGCCTGAAAGCAATTTTACAAGCCAATGCTGTAGGACTTGTGGTTAAGCGTGAAGACTGTAAAAGTCAACTCGTATCAACGTAAACTCGTACCACTGCGAAGTCGTACCATTCAGAACTCGTACCACTGCAAACTCGTACCATTGAAAATATATTCAATACATTTCTTGAATTTTATACCAGATTTTAATGAAAACTTAGACAAAAATACGAAAGTAATTTCTTAATTACCATGTTAATTAATATATTAAATTCCTTTGATTGTGTGATTATTGGGTGATTATTAACCAATCAACTTGTTGAATCATATTATTAAATTTTGATTGTTGTTATAAAATTTAACAGCTTGGAATTAAATGTTTAATGTGTATTATTAAATGAAATTCCTGATTATCAAAACAAAAGCTGACATGAGTCGTCTCAAAGCCGAATTTCCACATAAAAAGGGGCATGTTTGTGATGTTCCTCATGACCACAATGGAAGACGACCATTGTATAAATATATTGTCTCATTAAATAAAATTCCTTTTAGAAACAATTTTGACTACCAAAATATATTCAATGTTACTAATTTGTAATGATTAAAAATTAAATCAAATAGCTGTCAGTAAAAGTTAAATAAAGGAACTGTTCAAGGGAGAAAACAAAGCCAATCTGCCACAGTTTTCTCTGTCCAATTAGCCAAGGAAAAATAAGCTACAAATTGGTCTGTGATTTCAAATTATATACTTTTTACAGACTTAAGAGGTATTGAGTGAAATTTAAATATTTATTCATCATTAAACACCATTTGAATGCATTTAAATAAATTGGTAAGAGTTTACAATGGTATGAATTTACTATGGTGCGAGTTATCAGTGGTACGAGTTTGCATTGGTACAAGTTTGTTTTTAGTGGTACAAGTTCACATCGGTACGAGTTTGCAATGGTACGAGATAACTATAATTCTATATATAGTAAATAAGGATACCTCTTCAAAATGAATCTTAATTACTTAAAGAAGGCAGAAAGACTCTAATAATAGGTGCAATTTGGGTACCCTCACGTAAAACAACAACTGCTTTTGAACAGGGGTGTCTCTTGTTCTCTAGCAATGTCCAAATTTTACAAGACAAGTAGCAATAAAGACAAATATCAAGTTCTTTTTTGTGAATGAACTATGCAGATAGACCCGAAGTCAATCAAGGTAAATAATGTTGTCTTATTGTGGCGTAATCACATTAACATTGCGATATCCAAAATCAATGAGAAAATGTACGAATGTGAAAGTTGTCTTTGGCGCAAGAATATAATTGAATTCATTTATAAGATATCTGGTAGATTTTTGAACCCTGCATTTATGATACAAAAATGTAAATACAACAATAATAATGTAAAATTAAATTGTTGATTGAATCATATGATTGAAAGATACATAGTATGGTTCCAAATTTGCCAGTATTTACTCCATGAAAATGACACAGATCTACGAGTTGGAACAAAGGAATTGGTATTTATCCACTTCTTAGAATTGACTCTGTTGCTGTCTCACATCTGTTAAAATCTATTTCAGTTTATAAAGTGACAAAAACGTCCAATTTTACGACACGTTAAAACTCACGTCAATCCCGGCGTTGACGTCGTTTCGGAAGATCGCAACCGGAAGTTACTGAAGTGTACCAAGTTTCACATTAAAATTATTGCAGATTTGTTAAAAATACAATAAAATTTTGAAAAAACATTTGACCTACATTTCTTTTACGTAAATCATGAAGTGTTTGTGAATCGGGACCAGAACAAAAGCAAGTGAATGGCCGCTAGGTCATGTCCGCTTCGCCCGCTTCGAACAAGATTTTGGCTTATTTTATACCATTAAGACAAAAAACTCACCTTTCGTATCACACTTCATATAATTATTCACATTTTATGCATATTTTGCACATAAAATTCATGCATGGATGTCAAAGTCTTCGGTCATAATGTCGTCCCATTGAAGCTTCATTTTAAAAAATGGCGGATATGGTTAATGGAGTCGGTGCTCGCTGTTGTCATAATTTGATGACGTCACAAATCTTATGTCGACAATCGAGTCGAGAAATACGACGCTTTATTTTTCGACAGTGTCGGCTAAAAAGATTCATTTTGAATATATCTGTATTTTTTATAAAAGATGTTTTGTTTCTTAAAGCTAGTTTGGTCTGAAAAGACCATGTTGCATGCATGGTGATATTTCGTTGCTCATAACAGTCGGACAACCGGAAGCCTCTGAGTAGGAATATCCTAATCATAAGTGTCTGTCAGACAAGTTGCAATGGCGGCCAATTTTGGTGTCATTTTTGAAAGACCGTTTTCATTAAATTTCAATGATAATTTTCAAAATATCGAAGTTTCCAGATGGTAATCAAAACAAGTTATTGCTGTTCTTTAATTCATTTGACCAAAAAGGGCAGATCGATTGCATAATACGACAATAATCAAGTTTTTCAGTGTAAATTTTCAAGCTAAAAAATTGTCATTTTTTCCTTTATGTGAAAAATCGAAGCGAGAAAGTTTCGAGAGACACCTTAAGATTGCTATATTCTAAAAACTGAGTGTTTCCGCTTTAAAATGTGCCCTCGTTTGTGAAAATCGGTAAATGAACATTTTTTTGTACCTATTTTGAAGATTGGGTTTTTTTGCTCGGAAACCCGGATTTTTGCCCCGAAAGCGTTTCTTGCTTACACATTATCGTTTCCTTTATTATGTCCCTTGTTTTTTTCACCGGACAAGTTTACATAGTATCACCAAGTGGTTTCAACTCTTAAATTCGTCAGAACTAGGAAATATTAATGTTGAACGTGTCGGTGATACTGAACAGAGTCGATTAGAGAGAACTAGAGTCTACTATGGGCTTCATATGGATGGTAAACAACTTCAAGGCAAGCAATAACAAGCTTAAACCCTGACACTGACAGGCCCTGTGGCTGTGGTCAAACAAATACATGCACTTACTTGACAGATTGTTGGCTTAACACACACTGTCACTGTGTTACAGCAGGGACCTAGTGTAAGGTCCCTGCATGGTTACAGCTAAACTTTGATGATTTTCAATGCAAAAAAGATTATACAAAATGAAACGAGCTGCAAGATAAACTGATATTTATAAGTCATCATAAATTATGACCCATGAGTAAGTAAGATACCAAAAACACTTAGAACATGTAGAACACATCTCTAGAAAATGCCACCTCTTCTTCGATGCTTCTTCTTAATTCTTCTTACATATAAGAGTTGGGTTCCTGACAAAACCAAACTCACCTACATATAAATAAGAAGATGTGGTTTGAGTGAGAATGAGACAAACTCTCCATCCATGTCACAATGTATAATAATAAAATGCTTTGCTGGGCGCAGCTTGATACGACCGCAGAGGTCGAGACCTAAACAGTTGGGGCAAATATAGACACATCATTCAAGCTTGATACAGCACTGAATTTGGATTGTGATTAAATATTTGACACAGCACAGGTTTCTGACACAGAATGAATGTGGTCTAAGAACTTAAAAAATTTTAATTTACCTATTCAAACCATATCACTATTATTTGCTTTTATATATAAATCAGAAATAACCAATTTAAAATGGAAAATTTTAAAGAACCCCCCCCCCCCCCCCCCCCTTTTTTTAACCCCCTTATGATTCATCACCCCCAAACTCAATCCCAGCCTTCCCTTTGTGGTATGGTACCTGAAGTACAATTTCAGAGAGATCCATACACTTGAACACAAGTTATTGTCTGGAAACTAGCTTATTTTTGGCCCCTTATTCCTAAACGTTTTGGGCAATTACCCGCAAACTCAATTCCAGCTTTCCCTTTGTGATATGGAACCTTGTAGTACAATTTCAGAAAGATCCATACACTTACACACAAGTTATTGTTATGAAACTAGAAAAATGCTTGTTTTTTGGCCCCTAATTCCTAATATTTTGCGGCAATTACCCCCAAAATCAATCCCAGCATTCCCTGTGTGATATGGAACCTTGTGGTACAATGTCCGAGAGATCAATACACTAACACACAAGTTATGTCTGGAAGTTACAAAAATGCTTATTTTTGGCCCCTTTTTCCTTAACTGTTGGTACCATAACCCCCAAAATCAATCCCAACCTTCCTTGTGTGGTATTGAACCTTATGGTTAAATTTCATAGAGATCCATTCACTTAAACTATAGTTAGAGTGTGAAAACTAATGTGTCTTCGGACGACGACGACGCCATTGTCATACCAATATACGACAGCAAAATTTTTTTTGTGGTCGTATAAAAAGTTAACAATTATAGGTCAAAATACGGCCTTCAACACGGAGCTTTTGCTCACACCGAAAAGTAAGCTATAAATGGCCCCGAAATTACCAGTGTAACACAATTCAAACAGGAAAACCAACAGTCTAATCTATTTACAAAACAAGAAACATCTATGCAACATACCAAGAAATGACAACCACTGAACAACAGGCTCAGGTGCATGTAATAAATGCAGTGGGTTTGAATGTTTTAACTGGCGCCAACCTTCACCCTAGCCTTAGACAGTGGTGTAACAATACGACATAATATGACACACTACAAAAAACTAATTGAAAAAAGCTGAAAACGCATCGAAGTATTAAATCTGACAGATTTTTAAGACAAAAGTTAGATAATGAAAGCCAAAATACCAAATAGTTAAAAACTACAGAAAATACTAATGCTGAAACCAGTATAAATAATTTAGCCTAAAAACTGGCCACTTATGGACCACTCAAATTGAGCTTGTTGAGAGGGATCTTTAACATGCACAGGACGTGGTACTCTCTGAACATGGGACCTCATATTTAACGTCCCCATCCTAATATAAAGGGCCCAGAATGACCAGTGTAACAAAATTCTAAACAGGAAATCATGTATGACTTTCAAGAAACATACACAGCTTCCAAATTTCCCAGTAATGAGTAACATCAAGTGATTTCCATAAACAAATATTCATTTTCCCACATTCAGTCAGGGATTGAACTGTTTTTGGGTTGTATGATACATCATTCAAAGCTTTCAAAGTTTGTTAACAAATTTGAACTACATTGTAAATTCAATTGTTTTGTACCCAGGAGGGTTATATGGGTGCAGAATAAGGCCAAATAAAAAAATATGTGTTTCCTATCACATCTTTGAAAATAAAATGCTCTGCTGGGCGCAGCTTGATACGACCGCAAAGGTCGAACCCTGAACAATTTGGGCAAGTATGGACACAACATTCAAGCTTGATACAGCTCTGAATTTGGATTGTGATTAAATATTTGACACAGCATAGGTTTCTGATAATGAATGTTTCACAGAATGAATGTGGTCTAAGAACTTAAAAAAATTTAATTTACCTATTATGGTCCAATATCCAAAATCTAAATACATGGTTAGATTCAGCATATCAAAGAATCCAAAGAATTAAATTTTTGATGAAATCAAACAAAGTTTCATTTTGGACCCTTTTGACCTCAATGTGGACCAATTTGATAATGGGCCCAAAAATCAAAATATATGGTTAGATTCAGCATATCAAAGAACCCCATATATTCAATTTTTGTTGAAATCAAACAAAGTTTAATTTTGGACCCCAACTTGGACCAACTTGAAAACTGGGCCCATAATCAAAAATCTAAACACATATTTAGATTCAGCATATCAAAGAACCCCAAGAATTCAATTTTTGTTAAAATCAAACTAAGGTTTATTTTGGACCCTTTGGACCTTAATGTAGACCAATTTAAAAAACGGGACCCAAAATTAAAAATTTAAATACACGGTTAGATTTGGCATATCAAAGAACCCCAAGAATTCAATTTTTTATCAAATCAAACAAAGTTTAATTTTGGACCCTTTTGACCTCAATATGAACCAATTTGATAGCGGGGCCCAAAAATAAAATAAAATGCTCCGCTGGGGCGCAGCTTGATACGACCGCAGAGGTCGAACCCTGAACAGTTGGGGCAAGTATGGACACAACATTCAAGCTTGATACAGCACTGAATTTGGATTGTAATTAAATATTTGACACAGCATAGGTTTCTCACACAGAATGAAATTAGTCTAAGAACTTAAAAATTTTTAATTTACCTATTCAAACCATATCATTATTATTTGCTTTTATATATAAATCAGAAATAACCAATTTAAAATGGAAAATTTTAAAGAAAAAAAAGGAAAAAAAAATCCCCCCCCAAATTTTTTGAAACCCCCTTATGATTCATCACCCCCAAACTCAATCCCAGCCTTCCCTTTGTGGTATGGTACCTTGCAGTACAATTTCAGAGAGATCCATACACTTGAACACAAATTATTGTCTGGAAACTAGAAAAATGCTTGGGTTTTTTGCACCTTTTTGGCCCCAAATTCCTAAAAGTTTAGGGCAATTACCCCCAAACTCAAACCAAGCTTTCCCTTTGTGATATGGAACCTTGCAGTACAATGTCATAAAGATCCATACACTTACACACAAGTTATTGTCATGAAACTAGAAAAATGCATGTTTTTTTCCCCTTTATGGCCCCTAATTCCTAACATTTTGAGACATTTACCCCCAAAAACAATCCCAGCCTTCCCTTTGTGGTATGGTACCTTGCAGTACAATTTCAGAGAGATCCATACACTTGAACACAAGTTATTGTCTGGAAACTAGAAAAATGCTTATTTTTGGCCCCTTATTCCTAAACGTTTTGGGCAAGTACCCCCAAACTCAATTCCAGCTTTCCCTTTGTGATATGGAACCTTGTAGTACAATTTCATAAATATCCATACACTTACACACAAGTTATTGTCATGAAACTAGAAAAATGCTTGTTTTTTGCCCCCTAATTCCTAAAATTTGGAGGCAATTACCCCCAAAATCAATCCCAGCATTCAAACCCTCAATCAGCATCATTTAACAGTAATATCTAAAAATGGAAATTACATAATAAAGGTATTAAAATAGAAAATGACATCATAGTCATGGCTAAAAATAAACAAAATCCTTAATC